GGGGCGGGGGGGGGGAGGGGGCAGCCCGTGCGATTTTTTCGCAAAATGCCTCATCAATTGCTCGTGACAGCTCTGCAAAGCCGAAAGCCGCTCTCGCCACGGGAAAAAAAGTTTAATTCGCGACGAGAAGATGAGCGCTGGGGGATTTCGTGCGGTTGCAACTGTCGCGTGCAGCCCGATCAGCGTCGATAGACTCGTAGCGACACTCACTAATGCGGCGAAAGCGAGACCGGGTTGGGCCCTGTCGGACTGCGTACTCTTTGTTAGTTTTGGGGTTGATATATGTTCGCGTGGGTAGTTCTCACGAGTGGATCTGATCATATAATTTTCCGCTTTATTTGTTGTCTTTTTTTTCGTTTCGAGATAAAATGGAACATTTAGAAATGTTTGCATATTTAGGAGCACAACGAAAAGCATTTTCTGTCACGTAATAAGTTTCTGTCTGTCTGTACTGGCACCACAGCCTTTGACGGCGGCAAGGCCTACCAGCGGCGTCCCAATCTTGTGGTCATGGGTTAAGAGGGAGTACGTGCGCTTAGCACATAGACAGCCCTACGTCGTAAATTGGTCTTTTCAACTGAGTAGTGAGCTTTCGCATCGGGACACATCAGATTCTGGGACATTGCAAGGAAAGCGCACTATATAATATGCCCCGGCCGGGAATCGAACCCGGTACCCTCTCATTGTTAGCGAGCACGGTGCTATCCTTATGGACACTTTGTGAGTTACTGCCATATACACTGAACTGTGACTTCGTATGAACTTCGAAGCACAATGAAAAATGTCTTTCGAACCTTCCATTTGCCTGGACATTAGCTTCTTTTCAATATGTGCCTGGTTCGGATCGTGCGCATTTGTCGTTCTCACGTGCGCATTTGTCGCGTAATCCGCACGGCAGGATCCTAACGGAAAGAACATTTCCGCCGTGTCGGAACTTCCAGCATCTTCCAGATCGATAATTTCCCAGCTGACGCCCCCTCGGCGCTCGCCTGTGATCGATGGCGGAAGTCGGCGATTTGTCAAAACGGTGTCCCGCGCTCCGCCCGCTGACCCCTTCCCCGCGGGGGTCGTCAAGGGGAAGGGGGGTCAGGGGGAGGGGCGCTCCTGAGAACCAACAGCGCTTGGCAAACAACGGCGCGTGCCTCCCCCAGCCCTCGCGGGGCCGCGCCCTCCCCTCCCCTCCCCTCCCCTCCCCTCCCCTCCCCGCCCCCCGCGATCGCGAGGGGGCGCGCCATTGGCAATTAATTCACGGGCGGCGGGCGCTGCCGGGCGCGATGCGCTGAGCGTGCACGCGGAATGCCAGATCCTTGAACCCTTCCCTCGTAGCGTACTACAGTTTAAGGCATTTATGTAGGGTATTTCTAAATAAATGAGGGAATTAGCTGACAATAGTAGGTTATAGAGCGATGCGTCAGTAATATATTGTGATGTGAGGTGTCGTGCAGTGGAGAACACAGAAATAATGTAGGTACTGGTTAAAGGGTCATAGTGAAGTGAGGTGAAGTGTAGTGAAGTGCTTTTGAACAAAAATTCAGTGCGGAGTTAGATTATGATGTTTCCTTTTTTAGGTAATTTTAAATGTTTTATGAATTAGACAATTTTATATCATTATTTTTATTATTAATGTTATTTGATTATTACTATTATTATTATGTAATTAGCTGCAACCGGGTTATGCTCATTTGCAGTTCAAATAAATCTATCTTATCTGGTGTAGCCGCTCGTAGAATTGGATTCTTTGTTAGTGGATTCATTGATTGATTGTATTATTATTTTGTTTTTTCCGGGCGCGGCAGTTGCTATGGTAGTTAGTCCCGTACGTGTAGTGCATGATTTTCTTCGGGACGTGGCGGTGGTCTTCCCGCGTTGGGTGGAGATACCTGGCACCGACCTGCACGTCGGCTAGCGCGGTTTTTCACGGCCAGGTATCTCCCTCCAGCGGGGCATCGCCCTAGTCGGCACAAACTCTAAGCTCTCGATTGGTGAGTCGGCATGTGTCGTAGTGTAGTTCATGTATATGAATGAGATGGGAAGAGGGAGGGGAATAGGAAGGAAAGATCGCGCACGGTCTGTGGTCCGTTTCTTAGGGTACTGTTCCGGCATTCGCCTGGTGTTCATCAGAAAAAACACGGAAAACTACCGATCAGAGCAGCTGGCCGCTAGAATTCCCCTTCTGACAGCGCCTGAACTCGACCCAGCAATCTAGAGTCGAAAATTCTTTTTTCTGTCAGGACTCGATCCTTAGGACTTCAGGCCACAGACACTACATTGACAGCAGTTGATTCCTGGGCCGCTCCGTGGATACGAGTTCATTCCATTTCAAAGCAGAGCAACTTGGTCGATTGAAGTCTTCTGTTACATTCTTGATGTGAGCTAACACAAGTGAAGATTAGCAACTTTGCCGCATGATCACACTGAGAAACCGGGAGAAGTGTGACTATTCACGCACCACAATGCTGATCATATTCGTAGTGTTATTGAATACCTCCTGTAACTTGTGACAGTCGGAATGTTTTTCAACTCTCTTCTTGATCTAAATTCCTCTAGTGTCCATGGAACGAACCCGCATAAGAAGCGTTTTCGATTGGTGTTCATTTGAAATAACAACTCGATTCTCTTTTAATGGAGGGTTCAAATGCGCGCAAAGGCCAACGCGTTCATAACATGTTGCCGAATGAGAGGAAGTGTCGATCTAGTCCTGAGTCGCCTTTACGAGTTATTGGGATCATCTCACGTTTCACAGCGATGATAGATTAAGAGAAGAGTGCCGAATGTGTATTTTGTATTCGATTATATTCATTTCGTTCGCTCTATAATCTTAGTCCGTTGTGGTTCTAAAATTACACCATTCAATTGAAAGAGTTGCGTGCAAAGATTAGACGTTATTCATGTTTTTTTTCGCGGTTCTGTTATTAAACTTCAAAAAATTAAAAGCATGCCAAAATTTACATACAATTCTCGTATTCACATATTATTAAATGGTGTAAACATGAATATTATTTCATACAATGATTAATTTATTTGTTTATCTTTGCAGAAACATAATTTAAATAATTACGGTGCCAAAATAGGTGCCAGAACTCTGTTATCGTTCGCGATACATTTTTTGACAAAAAATTCACTTCATTCTGTCCATAAAAGGGCCCATCGTTCTTTTTTCCATTTGATTCGTTTGCTCTCCCCAAATACCCCCTTCCACGCGCGTCGTTTGCTTTCATTCATATCTGTTTTCCCAACGACAGGAGCGCAACCGAACGTCACGTAAAATTCGCCGCGCGTTTACCTGGTCGGCAGACAGATAACGAACCGCCACCGGCAGAGCAGCCGGAGGAGCGGCGGCAAACAAAATGGCAACAAAAATAAACCGCGCGGCGCCCGGAGAATGCGAAATTGTTGCGCGCGCCGCCTCCGCGCAGTCCTGGCCGTTTTCGACCGCCTCGGCCCGCTACTCCCTCCCTTCGCCCCGCTCCGCCCCG